TTGGTATGGCAAGATAGTATTCGTAATTAAACATTATTGTAGATAATATAAGGTAACACAGTGTAGCAATCTGCCAAATATCTGATGTACATTGTTGTATACACATTGCATTTTAGTTCAATCAAATCTTAAGGCTGATCATGTAAACAACCCTAAAAAATATGTGTATTTCTATATATGTATGTGTCTTATGTGGTTTTTCCCCTTTTTCTCTCATGGATCGTATTAATATATACATAAATAGAGGTTGTTTAGCAAACTGTACGTTATCTTCCCTCTCCTTACATAGATAAAGTATCGTCCCTATGTGATACCGGTGGCATATGTTCTTACGAATCTTATATAATACATTACACAGAATCGTTACCCTTGCATCGGCGAGATGCGGGGGCAGTGATTCCTGTAACTTTATAACAAATACATTTACATGGTATGGATACATTATTTGCTAGCACCACGAACCAATAATTCACACACGTATATATATTATATTCATACAGTGGACCATAATAATAAAGCATCCTGAGTAAATATTGTAACCATTATGTGTCTCGTCTAATTTTAACAATGCACAAATGGGATCTACTCGATTTTTTTCGTTAAGTGTAAATAATTATTTCGCCTTTTATGCTCACAAAGTATCCTCTGTACGACACCTTCCCTTATAAGATATTAAATGTTTGATTTTCAACATACCATAATCTATTCCTTGCACATTAACGTTGCTTTTATATTAACGTTCTCAACTATCATTTTTCAAACGCGCAGAAAGAAATCAGGAACATAGCTCTCGTTAAGCTTCGTGCCTGCTGCAATGAGGAGTATCGTTTCGTTCTCTTCTTTAGAAATATACGATATGATAAGAGCAGGAAGTACTACCAACTACCTCGCAGCATGCAACGTTTTTTTTTTACATTTTTCTGTTAAGCGGAAAATTTTGATCCTCACGTCATAAAAGTTATCCTGCTGAGCTTATTAGTTATAGAAATTCTTAAAGGAAAAATTTCGAACATAATGTGTGCATTCTTGTGTATCCCAAAGCATCGGTTAGAACTAAGACCGATATTCTTCTCAAATGTAATTAAAATCAAGACGAGAACGTCTTATTTCTCGAGCACAAATCGAAATTATGGGCGTGTAAAAAGTGCTCGCTGGAGAGACTAGAATGATTTGATTTACAAACATACTTAAAATACTGATGTGTCAAAAATGATGTATAACAACCAATTTTGACGGAAGGCCATATGTAGATTGCTTTCTCTACTACAAGCGACCCGACTGGCTTCGGTCGATATAGCTTACTGCTTCTTTAACTGGTTCCACTTAGTTAATTTAATTTACTTTGGCAGTTTACCAAAATGCAAGTTGCTAAGTTACTATTATACTGTTTGGTCGGAGACGTACATTACCTTTTTGCTTTTTTTTTTCAACATTGTTACTTTCATAAAACAGGGACGCATTATACTTTTATATCTATTAAAGCTGCATGCTGCACTTGTTTCTATTGCTTCAATAGGCCCAAAATTCGAACATAATTCCTTGGGCGTGCCTTTCCCATCTTTCGTTGAGAGCGGTTTCCGAAGGTTTCCACTTGCAGGAAAGAAGTTATGTTTATTCGTCTGATTCCACTTCATAATATATAAAGTGTGTTCAATACGAGGACATGGTGGTTGTTTTTCGCCAGTGTTACAATATATCCTTCCGAAGTTATTTTTAAACCACAACATCGAGATACCTATTGCACCGTAACAATACGATATAATATTCGAATAAATAAGCGATATGTTGTTAGTGACAAAAAAATTTCCTATCTATGAAGTACCGACACGTGAGTTTTCTCACGTATGTGACGATGAAATACGAATACAAAGCTCGGTCGAAAAACTTCACGTTCGATTGCCTAGTACAATAGTAAATTATTACTGGCAATCAGATCCGTTAAATATAACATATAGAAACTGTAATAACGATGAAATATATATATATTGATAAAATATACAATGTCTTACCTTCACATATGGACATTCAAACTCCGAAATTAAAGACCCATCTCTGGAGAAGACAGCTACGTGGAAACGATTGCCATGTGAATCTCCAATTAATACGTCTCCCGCATCGCTAATATCGATCCCGTTTGGGAAGTTTGTTAAATTCTCACAGCCAATACGACGCAGGAATTTACCGTCTTCGTTAAACACCACGACACAATGTCCCTTGAAGTCGCAAACGAAATATTCCTTGCCTAGAAATTCGCGAGCAATTCACTCGTAAGATGTCGTAATATCGATAAGATATCGTAATAATTGAATAAATAATAATTATATGTGAAATCGTCGTAACAATATTTTGTTATAGCAGAGCATAATCTTCCTTAAGCTATGTTATGTCACCAGCGAGCAATGTTATTACAAGAGAGAAAATAAATGCCCACCACTGATAGCGATATCACTCGGTTCTCTCATGTAGTCACTGCAATCAAACCACCTTAAGAGGTCTCCGGTATCACTGATTACGAACACAGTTGGCGACACACTGTCAACAGCCACAATGTGCCCTTGGCTGGTAACAGCTAGGCCAGCTACGATATCGATGTAACGAATAGCGATCTTCTTTATAAAGTGACCGCTCTTCGTGAATATTTGCATCCGGGATCGTTCGTTTCCCCGATCGCACACAACGAATTTGCCGTTATTTCTCATTACGGCCACTTTCCTAGGATACCACAATTGTCCCTCTTCTTTGCCAGGAACACCGAATTGAAACTTGAAGGTACCAGTCTTATCAAAAATCTAGAATCAAAACATAAACGTTTACGCTCATATTTTCGTTTTAATTATCATTTATAATGGTGTACTCGTCGCGTTTATCAATGATGTATCTCGCTGTACAGCACGCACCTGAATTCTATGATTATTCGTATCCGCGACAATAATATCCTCATCTGTTCCTAGACAAAATCCGTGTGGCGAATTAAACTGCCCTTTACTAGGGCCTAATTGTCCAAACTTGCTTCGGATATGCATAGGCGTCAATTTTGCATTGTTTGAACGTGGGTGAGCATAATTCGCTGTCCCTGATCCAGTTACATTGGCAACAGTATTTACTACTACAGGCATGCTATGCATGGAATCACCTATTAAATCGTCTAAAAATAAAATATCGATGTCGATAAGCCAAAACAATAATTACAATGGCAACATTATTTTCCAATTAAGGCTCCGGAGTAATTGACTGTCCTTGTTTAATGACGTCAGAAACGAGAAAACGCATGCTAAAATTTCTTGCGTTATACTTTCAAATGAAAAGATATATTCACAAAATGACATTTGTGATCCATTCAGCACACTTGTAAAATTAGACGAACACTTTTTTTTTTATTCGAGCAATCAATCGCAAAATAATCGCAAAATTAACTTGACGCGGAACCTTCTTTTCCAACCTCTATTCTCATGATTTTGTCAATGTTAATTTTACGACTACTCATTGATTGTTCAAGTAACAGAAAAGTGTTCGTCCAATTTTAGAAGTTTGCTGAATCAATTTACAAATGTCATTTTGTGGATATATTTTTTTACTTGAAAGTATAACGCAAAAGATGTTGGCATGCGTTTTCTCGCTTCTGGTGCCATTAAAGGATAGTTAAAAACTACTTCGACCACTCCGAAGCTTTAGCATCTCTCAAGTAATAATGTAATCAAAGCACTTGTGTGTTTTATTATTTATAAAATAAGCAGAAAATATCATTTTCTCTTCAATATAACAACAAATTATTAAATAATAACGATTAATAATTATGTATTCTTATCAATTTTGACTAATTAACTTATTTGACAATTTACGGAACCAAAATTGCAGCACAAAGCGTCATTTGTAAGATCAATAAATTTGTTTTTTTTTCGTTGAACTAGCACTGTGCACTTATAAAACTTAAAAAGTGGCAGATATACAGTTAAGACTTGACGAGAGAAAGAGGAGAATTAGTGTAGTTAGTGCAGCTAGTTTAGCGAAAAAGAACACATCTTGATATACTGGTTTGTCTCTAACGACAAAAAGTGCAACCTAGTTCAGCTAAAAAGAACAGATCTAATATGATACGCGTTTCCCTCAGAATAATATCAACTTGAATGTCAATATGTACTTGAATTAAGACGGTCTTACCAGTACCCTGTGAAAGTATTGGCGAAGTGGAAGAGGACATTGACTGGAATCCTCCGTTTAATAAACTATTGGCAGCCAAGGGGCCCACTATCGGGGCGTCCACAATGGCTGGTGAAGGTACACGTCCCAATACTAATCCACCACCACCATTAATCGTAGCATTTCCCAGATCTGTGTTGAAAATAAATCGATCGTATATACACGAACTTCTATCGAGGAAACGCAGTTTTTATTGTATAATTTTATAATTTCATCTTTTCAATCGTTAAACTGCAAAGTTTCACTCAGATTGCGAACAAACGCACAATCATTGCCTTGAATCTTTTCGTCGATGTTTATCGCCATACATCAGGCGAATCGTTTCATCTCGAAGATTGTCTTTTTTTTTCTCTAAAGATAAAAGGGCACCGGAGTTCAAGTTACGAAATTAACGACCCTGCGGACTTTTCTTTCGGTGTAAGAATTTGGAAACAATCGATATAGATAAACGTAAAGAACGTTAAATAAAAGAAAATACGATCGCGGTAAAGAAAAATGTACGTGTAGACGAATTGCATCGTCTGCAAAAAATGCAAACGCAAACTTGACACGAAGTTTCCGGACGAACGATTTGCAAATTCGTTACGACACCGTGGTTCGTCGGCAGTTTCTTACCTTGATTGCCGAGAGTATTTCCTAATTTTGCAAGAGCCTGTAAATTGTTAATGGCGTGGCTCGTTGAACTTAGGTCCCCGGCAAACAGATCTGCCAATGTGAAGGACGGAGTTGGACTAGGATTCGAGCTAGGTCCTACGACACCGGTGTCACCCACCATGTCCACCTTCTCCGCTAAACTAGCCAATTGCTGCAGGTTGTACTCCTGTATGCTGGTCAGTCCGTGGATAGGACCTGGTGGAAGAGGTACGGGCGGTGGAGGAGGGGGGATATTTTGAGGACTCGTAGTCGGCGGAATAACAAAAGAGGGTTCACCTTCGAACGAGGATTGCATTGACGCGGGAAGCGAGATGGGGGAACTTGTGCTGAGAGAGCTCGCACAACCGATTGAGGTATGTACCATTTGCTGACTCGTAGAGACTCCCGACACTGTTGAGATCGGTTCGGGAAGAGTCTTCATCGAGATCGTTGTACCCTCGGTGCGAAATTTTCCAAATACCTCCTGCAACAAATATTTTGTTTTAATGTTGTGTGTAACGTGTGATATATTATTATTGTTACATGACAAGTGATTATACAGGATGTCCCAAACTAATCTCGGTTCCCGTGATGTGCAAGTAGAACGGGTGAAATTGAGCAGAAAAGTTATGTACCATTTTGCGAAATTCGCAAAAAAAAGTCGAAAAAACAAAGAGAGAAGAAACGAATATATCATAATTATGTGTGTTTACCTTCACGGTTTTTTCAAAATGATTATAGTCGGTCTGAAACTCAATAGAGTACGTCACGTTATGTTTCGGAGTGTTTTTAATCAGGTTCATCAATTGCGCTCCTACGACACGACGAAGGGCTAGAATTTCAACTGCGTCGCCATGCTCAAGGAGTCTCGAAGTGAAACGGCAAGCATCCTCTATCTTTTCCATGGTCTTCTCAACACTGCAACACGTTGTAATACAGTGATGTTTATTCTCAGTGAAAATTATAACGTTTAATACAGTGATACAGACGAATGAAGATGCATGTGAATAAAGATAATTTGTATCTTTCTTTTTTTTTACTTTTATAGAATTTTTTTCAACACACTTAACTTTGTTCTTGATTCGTAATGCTAACGTCTTTATTCATTTATCCCACTGATTATCAAATATGCATACTTGTGAAAAGTGTCCATTATTTCAAGTTCTCTGGCTTCATGAAGCTTTCCGAGTTCTTCCAATGCGTTGGCTTTACATTTTTCCAGTACAGCCTTGTAACTTTGGAAAGTTTCCATAATTAGATCTTTTGCTTGGTCATGTTGTACCTGCAGCTCGCTAAGTGCACTATCTAACTGTGTCGAGATTTGATCGCACTCGGAAATTTTCGCTTTACTTTCCGTCATCAGGTTAAATAATTCCTCTTTCTGTCGTGGTTCCGCATCTGTTAGTCGTTCGTATTGATGCTCTGGGGCTTTGTGTTCCACAAGTAGACATTCGTTGCAAATAGGTTCCTGATCATATACAAAATATACATATATTTGAGTTTCTTTTAACACCTTATGTTGAAAATAAAATTTAACTTTGTAATCAATGTATTTTTAATGAAGTACTATATTTTGTATCATAGAAAATGTTTAACTAAGTAACTTATTAATGTATAATAATATATATAATTTAATATGTATAAATAATAATAAGTAATAATTATGATACAACACACACACACACTTTTATATATATATATATATATATATATATATATATATGTGTGTATTATTTTTAATATCAAACATCAAGAAACATTTCCTCCTAGATATTATATATATACACACGCGCGTAATCTCTCTAAATTTTTATGGAAAAATATTTATGACTACAAACATGTAACAACTGATTGGTAGCTATCAGGGATGAAAGATTGCAAGTTGGAGAATACTATCTCTCTGAAACTTCCAACTTCTTAATAACTCAATGCCATGCTCAAATAATCATGTCTGTTTCACAACCGCTTTCTCACATTCATATACAAAAGGCAAGATATCTCTGAAGAATAAATGTCACAATCATGACATGCAATTAACTCTACTTGTTCCCAGCTTACCTGACACGTATGACAGTAGAATTTCATATTCTCAGCAGGATGACACTCACAAAATATCGGTTTGTGTATTGGAATAGCCTCCTTGGATTGCTTCAAGTCCTCAAAAGCCACAACCTTGTGGCTCTCAAAGCAGCGCATAAACTGGTGCGCCGTGTTGCAGTTTGGGCACAGGAAATTGGCGCAATCGGAGCAACGTGCCACAGCACTCTCTTTGGCCTTGCATGAGGTACACAGCACGGCCATATTCTCAATAGCTGACATATCCAGTATATTAGTGAGAACGTAGTCGCATGTCAGCGACGCAGCACCCTTACAACTAACGGAAGTCTCTTGCTGGCATATAGGACAGTTGATGAGCGAGACTACCTTGGAGTCTCCAGCTTCATCCATTAACAGTTTATCCAAACAAACTTCGCAGAACACATGGAGACAAGAGAGCACCCGGGGTGAGCACAGTTTGCTCCTGCATAAGGTACAGCCTTGCTCGTTGCTCTCACCGTTGCCGCACGATATTTCCTCCAGAGCGTCACCCGGATTGCCGCCACCGTTAGTGTATCCGCTTCCGACAACGTTCACGGAGTTGCGATTGTCATTGCCATATATATCGCTGCCGTCGATCTCCTCGGTGCCGTTACCGAGACCACCGCTTGCTGTTGGCGGTACCGAGGCTGCCCCGGACGGGACCGCCACCGTGGACGATGCCATCGCGCGATGTCGTCCGCGCGCGATCCAGCAGGAGAAAAAGTTTCGAGTGCGACGGCGATGTCCTCGTTGTTCTCTAGCCTCGTGTGTATGTGTGTGTGTTTGCGCCGAACTAATGGACTGCTCACAAATTCGATTTGCGTCGGGAATTAATCGCTTCTTCCTTCCTTTTCTGCTCGTCTCTGCGTCGTCGTTGGCGTCGTCGTCGTCGTTGGACCGAGAGAACAGACAACGGGGAAACGGTGATTCCTCGGAGAAATTTCACGAGGCGCACGTATCCCGAAACATTGCACTGTCGCGCTCGCTCGCTCGTTTGCACGGAGAAACAAAACACGAGGTGATCGCGAGGAAGGCAAGAAGTCGCGCGTATACGACGAAACGAGCTTGGTAACGCGAAGACACACTGGGAGAAGGGGGACGGAAAGGGGGGAGGGGGAGGACGAGAGAGAAAGAGAGAGAGAAGAGGGGGGAAGGAAGCAGGCAGGCAGAGAGAGAGAGAGAGAGAGAGAGCTTGAAAAAATCGAATCACTCGAGCTGAGTCTGGTTCGCGAGTCTGTGTGCGTGTCTAACGGTCTCTACGACGTGTAGATATACGTTATGCAGTTAGCTTCGTTCCTCACGACCGCTCGGGAGTTGCGTAGCTGCCGCAACCAGCCGTGTGCATACGTGCATTTATTTACAGTCGTCTTCCTGAGACGTCGTAGACTTACTGCCGTCACTGCCGTCTTCGTCAACGCGCACTACAACTTGCCAATCGTCGATTTGGTGCAGCTCGACGCTATAGCTCGCGCAACGCGAGTACCCTCGAGCATTATTAGTCACACAGTGCGCACGCGGTATCACTTCGCGATTACACGCGGCGACAGCTGAAGCTCTTCTGTCTTGCGATCGACGCCTCGGCCGTGAGTAACTCGCACTTTTTCATACGTGGAACGAAGCGAATAAAGCATTCGAATCGTGGAACGAGCTCGTCCCCTCGGATATGCGGCTTGGAATAGTCGAAACGGAGACAGCAGTATCCGTCGTCCGGGTGGTATCCTCCAGAAATAAATACGTCGCCAAGCTGGAGTTCCTAGAGAACGAGTTACCTCGTTGAATCCCCTATAAATATCGGAAACGTCCTCGACCGCGAACACAGAGGTCAGGAGCGTTCCGTTTGCTCGCTTCTCGATTGCCCACGTCCAACCGCAGCGATTTATGATTGGATAGTTTCAGTGTCAAAGACGGGCTTTCTCATTGCGTTCACGAAACTCAACAGTTGCGCATCCGTGGAGTAAACGCTCAGCGAGCGATAGAAATGTACGCTCATGTATGTAAAGTCAGCCGTGATGCTTGTTTTCATGCTGGATTGCTTGTGTTACGTCCACGATAGATAACTATATAGGGAAATTTGAAAGTAGTAAAATCAGTGACTTACGTGGACGGTCAACAGGGTGATGACTCCGCTTTTAGGTCACTCTGCTTTTCACCAAGTTTACCCTGGGTCTCCGGAGTCTGGCGAAACGATCGATGAATTTGGTGGAAATCAGAGTCGCTCGTTCTCCTGGCTCGGATGTTCCGGCGCTGCGCGGATGATGCGGTCCGCGATTCCAATTTCGATTTCGCAATGTACAAGAAATAAAGTATAGACAAAAGTAATTGCTACACAGTCGGATTTTACGATTAATATATTCCACAGTTACGTACACGAGTATCAGAAAAAAATTACGAGAAAATAATCGCCTTCACAACGAATGCGCGCGTTTTTATACGTTGCTTTGTCGCTGAGAGTCGTTTTTTGGTTGGCTGATGGAGTCGTGAAGATAGAAGAAATTCATTCTATCGGTATGATGTCACCGCGTCGATATCGCCGCGTCGGTCCTGAGTGGTGTTTGGATTCAGTTTTCATGCTTCTCTTTATGTTAGCAACGGGGTGCCTTATCGCATTGAGATTACGGTTTCTATTGTCTATAGTTGATCCATTGATTTTAAGACTCTCTAACGACACGCAGTATTCGGCGTTATAATTTTAATTATTATAATATATAACGTGCGCGAATATACATATGCGTACGTACTTACGTCTAGTAACATAGGGATAAAATATTTATACCTAGTGAATATCTAACCTAATGATGTCTGAAATCAGACAAGTCGGCCTTCGATCTGTACTAATATATTATTAATGTTCCAAAATAAGTCCGGACGTTACAGCTTAAAGCCTGTATCAGATTATGGATTGGGGATTGAGATTAAATTGAATTTTGCCAATCAGTACAATGTTAACTGAATTCAAGTTTAGTGAAATTTAATGAACTTTGCATTGATTGGTCAAATTTCAATTCAATCTCCAATCCATAATTTGGTACAGGCTTAACAAGCCACGGTCCCCACAACGCCAGTGCTCTCTAGATCGCGTGTATCCCCGGAAGAAACATTAGGTCTGTTCGTTTTCGCTGCACTGCTGAACTAGTGCAATAAGTTGAAGAGAGACAAGTATATGTTTTCTCACTTCAACTTATTGCACTAGTTCGGCGGTGCAGCGAAAACGAACAGACCTAATAGCTATCTGAACGTAAAATTTCCTTTTCTTTTCATTTCTGAAGTCAAAAATTGGGGTTCCTACTAAAAATTTCAAGTTGACCTTAAAATGACATTTAAATTTGACCTCTAGGGCGGAAGTTCCCACGATAGCCATTCAACATATCGTTTTTCGGTAAGAAAACTAGAAGTTTATTGGTTACCGCGTGAACTTCCGCGTAGCAAATGTTTCCTGTGAGCTGAAGCTAATAAGATCCGACTATGAATACCGGCCTATGAATTTCACATAACATTTTGATTGTTAAACGCGTCGATTGGTCAACTAAAGGATCGTCTACATTGGAAGTAGTAGTAACACTACAAAGTAAAGAATAAAAGAGATTTTTCAGTAGAATAAAGTATATCACCGGGAATAAGCGAAATAGATCATTCCCATTTTCTATTCCCTACTGCTTTACCACCAACCAATATTCTATTCTTCATTTAATATTACTTATTTCTAATGTATAGACGCCCTTATTACTGTTTATTTCTAGGCTACGTTCAGGGAACACGCTGTCAGCGCTTATGCGTAATATTATCTGCGTCCCTTATTAGATGTACGATAAGGATAGATTGATTCGTTAGCGCTGATCAGCGCTAATAGTCCGCTCTTCGAACGCACCCTTAATGTAGATGGTCCTTAATCGTATAACAGGTAAAATTTCCTCGAAATTTGTGATTAAGACATATTTGTATTGCACGGTATACATATGTGCGTGGAAAAACATTTTGGTAAGATTATTTTTAAGTTTTTTTAAGTTTGGCGTGTATATATATGTGGGTTTTATAATTTAGGTTGGCTTAAGAAAGTCTAAAATGTTATCAAGCTAAAATTTGCCTAATTGATATAAAAATTATAGTCAGTTACTAATGAGAGAGCATATAATAAAGTATCTATAAAATATGTATTGTTACTAAGTTTTAACGCATATTTTTTCTTTTCTCCATTGTCACTACTATAACTTAGAAATTAATTATAGAAACTACTAATTTTTGTACTGAAAGATACTATGACTTGTGTATTTTGGTTCTATAAAATTTGAATAAGATTTCTAATCCTTTCGTAAGAGATCAAGGTAGTTGGAAACTTCAAATTTTACTTTAATCAGAACTTTAACTTGGATCTTTGAAGTAAATTTCAATATTCTTATATATATAATATTTAATAAAAATATTAGAATATGTATACATATAATTTTTGCAACCTTTAGGACAATGGTAACGGGTCCTACAGAACAAGGAATGCAAGCTGATGTTATATTTGTTATTGAAGGGACGGCTGTTAACGGCGCATATCTCAATGATCTCAAAGCAAGTTACATCATACCAACATTAGAGTAAGTATTGAACAATATATAAAATATGTATGATATGTTATATTTTTCTATGTATACAACAATTTATACTGTGTTGCATATTTATAGGTATTTTAGTCAAGGTGGCATAGAAGATAGGGAGTACATCTCTGAGGTACAATATATTACAATCATATACTATTATATCACTATTGAGCCAATAAATAAAGTTAGAATATATTTTAATATAATTAAATTTTGTGTAACAGAATAGTACAACATTGTACGGGATAGTTGTTTATCACGCAGCTGATTGTTTACCAGCACCATGCACGGAGACATTTGGTCCTTATACAAATCCGCACAAAGTATCGATAGTACTAGATAAGCTTGAGTAAGTACAAAATACATAATTTATCTCATACAAACAAGTCTTATGGGAAATTAAGAATATTTTTTACCCTTAAAATTATTTTTTACTAAAAATCATTGTCAATGCTTTATCAACTATGTTATATCACTTATATTTAACATGATCACTGTAATGTAATATCAAATATTATAACTATATTATAATGTTTCATATCAAATATTATAACTATATTATAATGTTTCATCTACTATAGAATGGTTGGTGGAAAGGGTGAATCCTATGCAAACATAGGTGAAGGATTGGCAACGGGATTACAGTGTTTTGAAGATTTGCAGCTAAAACGAGAGTCTAATACAGCGTCTCAGAAACATTGTATTTTAATATGCAATTCACCTCCGTATCAAATTATGATTCAAGAATGTTACAAGTTTGCTGGTCATACTATTGAACAATTGGCTACCATTTATCAAGAGGTAAACGATATATTATTAGTCAAGAAATAGCTATACGAGTGAGTCTGAGAGAAAAAAAATTACGATATATGTGTGTGTATATCTTACATTTCCAGAGAAATATTAATATCTCTATATTGTCACCGAGAAAGATCCCAGCGTTGTTTAAGTTATTCGAGAAAGCCGGTGGTGACTTGCAGTCGTCACAAACGAAGAATTACGCCAAGGATCCGAGGCATTTGGTGCTTCTGCGCAATTACAATCTGAAAGAACGGCCCGTTAGCCCCGCGATGAGCGGTAACGTTCACAATGCCGCGGCTACCGCGGCGCAAATTCCTCTGAGCCCGTTACAGAGCAACGACAGCCCGAACACTAATCAGGTACAGCAGAACATCGCTCCGCCGAGTCAACCGCAGGGCCCTCCCTTCCGGAATCAAGCACCTCAAAACATCACCTCCGTGCATCAAACCGTGACGCCGTCCATGGCGGCGCCGATGAATGCCGCGCGTCCCCCTTACAATCCGCAGTTAGCCGCGCCGCCAAATTATCATCCGGCAAGTTTAGGCCCGAGAGCGACGCACACCAGATGGATGCGGCCGCCATTCATAGCCCCCGGAGCGACTGCGCCTGCAAACACGCAGAACAGTAGTGCGCTAATAGCGCAACTGACACAACCACCCTCGTTAGGACTCAATGTGACTACGTTCGGCCAAAGATTAGATGGTAAGACACCTGTCGTATTTCACTTATCGTACAGAAGTGATTTGATATGACTGAGAGAAACGTCTTTATGATTTTGTGTGTGTGTGTGTGTGTGTGAGAAAAAGGGAAATATCTCGATAATTCGCTGCATACGACGATTCACTTTAGTAGGAGGAAATAACGTTATGGCGCCTAATCCACAACAGCAGCAGCAACTCACACAGCAACAGCAGCAACAAATGCGACTGACGATGCAATTGCAGCAACAGAATGCCCAGCAAGCTACAATGTCCATGACCGCCCAACCGACCCACAGCCAGCCAGGATCGCAGCTTACTGTATCTTGTATGAGCCAGTCGGTGCCCACTCAAGTACCGCAAACTGTCACAGCTTCACAAGCACCGGTCTCAGTGTCTTCTGTCACGCAACAGATTGCTCCTCCTCAGGCACAAGTGATTATATAAGATATTACACTTATAGCAAGCTTATTATATATATATCAGTCTGGCTACTTGGGATAGCCGAGTTTTAAAATGATCAATACCATCACTTCCCATAATATTGATCTTTTCTCTTGGGACATTCTGTATAAGCTTTTTTATATATAATTAGCCTTGTATATGAGCTTATTATATATAGATTTTGTGACGTCATAGGCGAAAAATGAGACGCACTAAGCTTTTTGCGGCATATTTTAACTTGATATTTTTATATTTTAGTTTTATGTCTTAGTTTTCTCTGGAAAACGTAATAGTTGCATAATCCCGTTGTCTGCCCGATATATGTTACGTAGAATCGCAAAATAATTCAGGAAATAATAAGTCATTTTTCAGCCGTCTCAGTTGTCATTGCTGGCTGAGAGAGTATGGCTAAAAAATGGCCCATTATTTCATAGAGCTGATCATTTTCTTCTCGCGTGAATTCGTGAAAATGTCAGAGCACATGGAAATATTCACTTTTCACGCTGGAGAAATAAACTCATAAACCTCACTCAGGAATTATTTTGCGATTCTATATGACATATCGGACAGACATCTCAGTCCGTCATACATTTTTCAGGATTACGAAACTATTACGTTTTCCAGAGAAAACTGAAAAATAAAACTACATGCCGCAAGAAACTTGCTGCATGTTATTTCTCGCCATGTCGATGACAGCATAAACCAATATAACTGCCGAGAGATGATCGATCGTCCCTTGAGCAAAAATGTTGGTGCGTTTTATTCCGAGATAGTTTGGATTCGGCGCGCGATGCTGCTGTTTGCTTTCAAGCTACATTCATTTGTAATAAAATACTACACATTCAATCTTGGAAATCATTTAAAACAGGATATATGTTCACATGAACATTTTTATTATTTAAAATGACTGATACCATCACTTCCTCAAATATTGATCTTTTTTCCTTCACCTTGTATAAGGCAAATTTTACCTAATTTTTCTATTTGTCCTATTCCAGGGCAACGTATCCACCGTGCAAGGTACTGTGCAAGGTCAACAACTTGTGCAACGCGAACGGCAGAACATCTGGCAAGGTATTCTAGAGTGGATCGAAAAAGCCAAGAATCCCTCAGATGCGCAAAAACAGACGAGACATGTACCGTGTCAAGTATCGGCTAATTCGAAAGACGGGGATCCAGAACTGTAAGTTATTGTCGTTTACTAACAGAACTTATATTAGCATTATTTCTCATTATCTTAATGTATCTGTTTCATCATAATTCTCATTTTTCAGGAAAGCGGATACCTGGCCACCAAAGTTGATAATGCAACTAATGCCAAAACAATTGATAGGGAATATTGGTAGTTCCTACTTGAAAAATTCCAAATCTGTTATTTTTCATCCCACGCCGTGTGAAGCATTAGAGTCTCTGACGAAAATGATGAGCGCCGGATTTGTAAGTATATATTGATCATAAATACATATTTTACTATATCGTATATTAATATTTAAGATATATACGAAAATTATCTTTCAGGCCGGTTGCGTTCACTTCACTTCAAATCCGCCAAGCCCAGCTTGCGAAATCAAAGTGCTTATACTATTGTACACTCTGGAGAAAAAATCGTATTTAGGTTTTATTCCCAACGACCAGACAGCTTTTGTAGATAGCTTGCGTAAAGTGATACAACAGCAGAAAACGTCTCATGCCTCTATGAGACAAGGACAAGTAAGCACAATGAGAAGATGCAAATTATTCGTACACACAAGCAGGATGGCAGAAGGAAAGGTATTAGAGAATGTATCTTTTGTAGGCCAATCCTGGCCCAGGAAACACAATCCCGGCACCCATGCCTACCACAGGTACTCAGGGGGGTATTCTGATGTCCCAAACGAATACTATAGCAATGGGTGGTGGTCAAATAACACAGAACGTTATATCGAGCAATGCTTCTCCGCAAACATTAAGTTCGACTGTTCCGCAGACTCAAATGAACATGCAGGTAACCCTAGTATGAATTTCGAAAGAGTGAAGTAACTCTCCTCACGATATGTCAAACGTTACGTTTTACATTTACAGAACAGCGGTATTAGTGGACCACAGGCAAATGCTGGCGCCGCAGGCATGATTACTCAGCAGAGACCTCCGTATGATGATTTGGAAATTGCCAGACATCAGAATTTATTAAAAATTCAACATTTACGACAAACGTTAGAGGCTGCGCAACAGCAAGAGGCGCAATACAAATCGCAATTAGAAGTAAATGTAAGTACATTTCATTTTGTAATCATCAACGGGAAAAATCTTCGACTATATTACTCATACATTTATAATTGCGATTGTTGTACAGATTCAACAGAATCTCGAGGTTGCGCAGCAACAGGAAATGCAGTATAAGCAGCAGCTTGAGGCAAGTCATTTTCAATCGCGGATAAATATTTTCACATGATGCATAGCGTGTAGATACATCGCTCGAGAAACGAAGGAGAATTCTCTAATTGCTCCTGTCGTGTGTAACATGTTCTGTTGTTGATATCTATTCTTAAAATCCCTTTAAATATTCTAGTTTGCTTTTCAATTGTTTATACAAGAATACACTATCTTAATATTTTGCATCATATTATTTGCAATCTGTAAAACTGGTTAACAAATATGGTATTTGGAAATATTGAGACAATTTTTTATTAGTATTATTATTATATATGATTCGTGTGAGTTGCATTGTTTTAAAAAAAAATATACTAGCTGTGAAAGTTGTAAATATCTTTATAGGCGCAACAGGCACAGAGAGGCATCAACCCGGCTGCCATGGCTAACCAACAAGCCAACACTCAAAGGCTGATGCGTCCTGTCTCTGCCAGTAATCTCGGTCTTAGACATTTATTACAACAGGTAAGAAATAGAAAGGCGTTCTCGAGGAAACTTAAACTTTATTTGCGCTGTTCTTCATACATGCACGTTAAGCGGGGTCTACAATGAGAATTTAAGGCGTAAGAGTTAAGAAATTGACCAATCATAATTGATTTTCTTCTATAATTCGATTATGATTGGTCAATTTTTTAAGGCTTAGAGATTAAAACATTTATTGTAGACTGGGATTTAAACGGGGTCTACAATTTAAGCTCTGAGCCTTAAAAAATTAACTAATCACAGTCGAAGATGAGAAGAATAATGAACTATAATTGGTCAATTTTTTAAGACTTAGAGCTTAAATTCTCATTATAGAGTTCGCTTTAAAGAATTGTAAAAGGAGTTCTGAAACACGCGATATAATCGAGACTTCTTTGTTTCAGCCACAACCACAGTATAGACAACAAGTATTTGGAGTACAACAGCAAATGGTCGGACCAAGGGGCCAGATAACAACAAGACCAATGGCACCGGGCAATACACAAAATCAGCAGTTTGAAGATGTGCCGAATGACTTCATGACTTTCTAAATTTAATTTTGTTAACAAGTGATCTGTTAGTGTTTGATCTTTGCACGGCCGGTAACGTGAAAAATCAAATGTCACGTCAATCTTAACTCATGATAATATTATTATCTCAGAATGATATTATAGGGAATAACAATTTTCTATTTTATCTTTCAAGAAAATGCATGCAAGTGTCAGCCTTAGATTTTGATAAAGTTTAAATATTAGATCAACACAAGCGTGCGCTACGCGCACGCTACTTAGCTAATTATTATTATAAAAAATATATAAAAAATCTCGGTAATTAAATAAGTATTAAACTTAAAAATTTTCTCTTCATCAGGCTAAAAATCTATTTATAAATAGGCTTCTATATCCTATAATATCGAGGAAGAAAAATTCTTCTTGTTTCACTGTCTTTAATATTTTTTCTTCGACACGCAAACTGATGAGCTGTCAGAATTTCGAGCATCGACTTTTTGTGCCATTTTTAGAAAAGGAGCATCAAGAAGTACAGTGACATTTCGCACCAAATATGAGATGCTACCATATACATATCTTTTATCAGAAATGATATTATAGTTTAAGATAAGATAGGCAATATCTTTTTATATATATTATAAATCTCCTTAAGCATATTGAAGAGATGAAATATACCCTTCGGGAAAATTAATCTTTGTTTTGGAATAAATATGGCCAAAACGGTGAGAAACGATACTTGCACGTGTTTTCTTAAGGTTTTGCATTAGTCGCTATGACTGTTCCTGTTTAATGACGTCAGAAGCGAGAAAACGCATGCCAAGATTTTTTGCGTTATATTTTCAAGTAAAAAGATTCACAAAATGATATTTATGATCGATTGAGCACAAAAGTTGTAAAATTGGACGAACACTTACTCGAACAATTAATAAATAGTCACAAAGTTAATTCGACATGGAACCTTTTTTTCCAATCTCTTTTTTCAAGATTTTGTCAATATTAATTTTACGGCTACTTATTGATTGTTCGAGTAAAAGAAAAGTATCCAATTTTACAAGTTTGCCGAATCGATCACAAATGTCATTTTGCGGATATATTTTTTATTTGAAAGTATAATGCCAAAAATTCTGGCATATGTTTTGTTGCTTCTGACGTCATTAAACAAGAACAGTCACAGCGACTATTCCGGAGCGTTGAAACAAATTTTTGTATTAAATTTTTAGTTAAATTTATCAAAGAGTTTTTAAGTTATTTATTATTTATGCAGAAAATAGTACATATAATGGTCGAAGAGAATTTTCTTCAGAAATTTCATTTTATTTTATAAACTGTAACTGTGTATTATCGAGAATGTATCACGTTCAGATTTGTATGCACGTGTATAGTGTGTGTGAGAGGGCTGTTCAATCAAATATATAGAAGCCACGTCTCTATGGAAACTCTTGTTACATATTTCATTCCATATATCACGATGTACCGCAGCCAATGTGTCGCTTCTATAAGGGTGTTTTTCGTCAAACTGCGTGGAAAATAGAAACGGAAAAGGCGACAGAGAAAGAGAAATGCAGGAAAATGAGTCGAAAAATCAAGAAGCAAAAGAAGAGACGCAAGAAAACAATGAGAGAATACGCAGAGAAATTTACGATTCGAACGAGTATATCTCTGGTGCAAAACGCGTACAAAACGGAACAGTGCCTTTGAATATCTTAGAGTTTAAGTATCCTTTTAATTTTATATACATATATATATAGGTATATAGGCGCATAGAATTCCTTACATGAAATCTGTCAGTCATTCGTTTTCATACGATTGTCAAAAATATTTTAATCTTTGTGTGGTAGAACCAAATGTTGTTATCTTCGCTTCCGGTAATATACTACATTTCTTAAATACAGCAACAAATGAACTGTGGTTTAGGAGAGGATCTACTGGTGGTGGTATTGGACATATGACGGTATTTCTTTTATATTTATTGATATCATTGGTATGTCTCGATTATAATTATTACCTGAATTATTTTGGATATTATACGCAAATAGAAGTAACTTTTTTGTAGAGTTTTATTTTTAATCTGAGCAGTGTTATATGTGTATTATTAATAAGAAATTAATTTTTTCTAATATACAAAAATTTGTGCAAAAATCTCTTGACGTATCGATAATTTTTTAATTATAAAACGAAAAAAAATTTTCTAAAGAACGAATTTTACAAATTTGAATTAAAGAACGAAACTAAAATTTTTTGCTAATTGCAAATAGAATTTTCTTAAAAAAATGTAATTTCTCTATATGAAAATACATAATACAGTATATCCCATTTTAGTGGATACAATGAAATATAACATGAGATACAATATATATATACATGAGATACTACTGATATATCTACATAATAATATGAGAAAAATTGATTATTGATATTAATCATTGCACATCGGTGCATCGATGCATTTGCAAAATGTAATGAATTTTTTTTAAATTTTTCTATGTTTGCTTACAGCGATCGATTCCACCTGTCATTCTACGTGTAAAAATGTTAAAGTGACTTTATCAAAAAGTGAATACTTTATGAAATATTTCATATCTTTTATATTGAAAAATATAAAAATAAAAAAGTAAAATATCTCGAAAAAAATATTAACTTTTCGACTATTTTACTCTAGTACTTTTATATGCAGAATGAATAGAGGAATAGATTTGTATTAAAAAGAAAAAAAACATGATTTCATTTAAAAAAATGAAGTTGATCTTAAATAATTGATTATATAACAGAGTTAAGGTCACCAACTTATATCTCCCTCCAAACCCTACAATTTTTATCTGAACCATTTTTTTTTGTCAATTTGTCAATTGCTTCTTTTTCAAGATATTTCACTGTTTTCATTAAAATGAGATATCTTATAGTATGATCTTTCATGATGTTTTACCTTTAGAAAAATCCTGCATTCGATCATATCGCCATTGCGGAAAATGGTGTGAAACCTCCAATAATAATATATAAATGGCCTTCAATGAATATCGTGACAATATTACACGGTGGCACGTTGAAGCGTTACTCCCATTTAACATACAGGTATCTCGTGAAGATTAATATGCGAAATTACACCATAAACTAGTTATTGAATAGTATTATTAAATAGTATTATATATTTTGCAGTGCGGATGGATTATTACTAGTGTCGCAAGGAGGAGACCCAGATTATATGATTACGCTTTGGGATTGGCAGAGATCTCAGATAACATTAAAATGCAAATCTTACAATCGGGATGTTTATAACGTTACGATATCACCGTTTTTACCTGAATATTTTGTAACCAGTGGATCAGGACACATAAAATTTTGGAAAATTTCCAACACGTTTACCGGGTTGAAATTAAAGGGCGAGATTGGCAGATTTGGCCAGACAGAGATATCTGACATTATTGGTGTATACATCATGCCAGATGGGAAGGTAAATATTATTCAAGTACATTCTGAGAGAGTTTCATGATTATTTATTTAATATCGTAAGTAATAATCGTATAATAAGAGTCACGCGTCAATTTCGAATTGTTGCATTTTCCCGAGACAAACATATGAATGTCCTAATTGCTGATCACTTCTAGGTCGTATCAGGCTGTGAATGGGGGAATATTTTACTCTGGGAGGAAGGCTTGATCAGTCTCGAAATATGTAGAAAACATAGGCAGCCTTGTCATGCTAAAGCAATCACACAATTCGAATATCTAAACGGAGAACTCATATCAGTTGGTAAAAATATTTTCACTTTATATCGATATGAAAATCAGATCAATATGTATGAATGGTGAACCTTTTCCTCTCAAAAAGTATCATAATCGCAATATTTCCATGTTGAGATTTTCTTATTGAATTACCTAGAAAATGTGGCTTTAAAAAGCGTCCCGTAGAAAGCAGGTTCTGTTATATTCCTTCTATTATATTAATTATATATAATTATATAAGATATTAATATAAATTAAAAGAGCAAACGATATAGGTTTTGGTGTAAGGTTCTTTTGTATTACATTGAATGGATCATAGGAATGGATGGATGGATTCGAGTTTGGTTCTACGAGACGATAGATCAAGCGGATATCCACGACGAGAATCGTTTCCTAGAGATTCAACCCGTCTATGAATTTCAAATCGGTAATGAAACGTTCAGTTCGATGCTAATATGCATATGTAAGCAGGAGCCGGACAATCCGGAAAGTACATTCTGGTATGCCCAAGTAAGTAATATCTTTTCATTGTAATATTAATATTTATTATTATATTTTATATTATATAACATACATACACAACAACAAATTATTATATTAAAAAGAAATTAAAAATTATAAGGTTCTTTGATATCAAATCAAGAGAAGTAGACAGGGCTAATTTTAAATGGCCCTATCTACTACAGGATACGGCGCTGGAATCCGGACAAAATTCAATTTGAAATTCTCGCAATATTACAGTTCGACCGGAAGCGCCACATGGCGCTAATATAGACCACATACGTGGATAAGATGGTCATAATTAAAAAATGGTGAAACACGTAAAGAATAGCACAGAATATAATTGCAGAGCAGCAATCATCGCAAGTCTTTGCGCCGGATGGACATCACCTGAGATAATTAGGTTCTTCGAATACTCCCGATCAACGGTTCATGATATCGTTTAAAAGTATAAAGGCTTCAAAGAAGTCTGAAGAAGGATCCGCGATAAGAAAGATTCATATGCAGCAGAGATGTCATGCCGTCGTATTTCTTTGAAAAGGGTCAAATGGTGGCGAAAAAAGTCCATCCTGAACACAATGATGAAGTCCTAGATGGAAGCCATGGCCTCAGAAAGGCCGTACATCTTTTAACAAGATAGTACTCACCAGTTCTTTGGTGCAAAATCGGACCACGTCGAGCTTTTTTGGTCTAAGAACTTCTGGCTTCCTAACAGCCCTGAGCTCCCTGGACTGTTAAGTGTGGAGCATTGTTGAAAGGATACCAACAAGTCGCGACACCCCCAATGCGGCTTTCCTCCGGATCGCCATTGAGGCAGCATTTGCGCACAATTAAAGGCCGCGTGCGAGCGCTTCAGGGGCCGAATCTAAATAGCAGTGCAGGGGGGTTACATTAAGTAGGAGGACTCCGAAAGAACCTCTCAACATGTATATAAAAGCATTTTTTTACGCATTTGATATTGACTTAAGCGGGGTCTATGAGAATTTAAGGCGCAAGATTTAAGAAATTGACCAATCATAATTAATTGTTCTTCTATAATTCGACTGTGATTGGTTAATTTCTTTAATCTTATGCTTTAAATTCTCATTGCAGACTCTGCTTAAAATAAATGGTTTTTTTGAAAAAAACCTTCTCATGTCCGGATTCTAGCGCCATACTTCTTTTGATTATTATGTTAATAATTAATTATTATGTTAATAATTAATATATTTATAGTATTAATTTGGATATATTAATTTGCTAAACAAAAGATACATGTGTATACTTATTACGTATTTTTAAGAAAAAAAAAAGTCATATAATATAATGCTAATAAAGTTGCAATTAAGGGCCCGAAATTTGAATAAAATCAGAACTCGGCCCAGTCGAGACGAGTGGAGTACCGAAAGTTTCTCACCGCATCAGCACGTCTGGTAATATGAAGTTTCTAAATACTAATTGTCTCTTTTGACGTTTTTAGGATGGAAATGGCGGGATATGGTTAATCGATTTGCATACGTCAAAGGCAGAGATGCCGCGAAAGATATTTACGTGTCATGCGGGAGCTGTAGTCGATATGGATAATGCAACATGGGGACCCTTTGTAGCAACGATTAGCAAGGTTGGGCAACTGCATATTTACAATTATATGAAGAAGAAGTTAATTTTGGACCATAAGTTTCACGACATCGGTAGCCAAGTCGTCTGGTTTCCATGCAAGGTAAATCAATGTGTTTAGAATTCATTTGTTTATTTGCAATGCGAGACTTATATAATACAACAAATTGTAGTACACAATTAACATGAGATAGAAAAGTCAAACACAAGTTGGTGTTCTTTCGAATTTCTATTGTCCAACATTACATTTCTATTTATTGACAAACATTTCGTGAAATTCTGTTACTCAAGTGTTTGTCTAATTGCGCGTCTGATACCAGTATTATTAATTCATAAAATATTCTCATATTCATAAGGTCGAGGCGACAGGATCAATGCTCGCTTGTGCTTTTGGGAGCGGTATTATTCGCGTGATTTCCGTAGCAATATTATTGGCTGACGCCGAAGTCGACAACGTTGACAATGTAAAAAACGATTATGTCAAGTTGATTCGGATCATAAGACCACACAGAATGGCGATAACCGCGATGTCTCTGAATCCATCGTATAGGTACGCCGAAAATAGCGATAATCTTAGCAAGTTTGGTCAATCGCTCGTTTCTGCTAATTTACTCCCCCAAGTTCTAAATACATTATTAGTTATATACAGGGTTTTCCATTGAAAGATTTCATTTTCGCGTCATTTTTAGCCCGTTAGAACTGTTATTCCTTAACAGCTGGCAAGTAAAAAGTATACAGTTAACGAAAGTTAACGAAGTTGACGAAAATGGAATAATATATTCTTCAGCAACGTATAGAAATTGTGAAAATCCACTACAAAAATGGTGAAAATTTCGCGGAGACAGTTTGTAAAATTCGTATTGCTTTCGATCGCAATGATGCACTTTCTCATCCAGCAATTGGTAACCTAATCAAGAAATTCGAGCGTTTGGGTCAAGTTAGTGATGTAAAGACCCCAACCCGTGTTCAGCTGATCAACATCTTTTTCGAAAACGAAGCCACTGTTTCAGTGAACAGGCTGCGTTACGATGCTGACCGTTTTCGGTCTGAAGTGGATGATTTGAACTTGGACGATGTTTATTTCCAGCAGGACGGCGCAACGTGTCACACAAATAGCGAAACAATCGCGTTATTGCGTAAAAAGTTCCCTGGATTTACTTTCTTGACGCAAAAACTTGAATTGGTCGTCTAGATCGTGCGATTTAACACTGCTAGACTATTATCTTTCGGGCTATATGAAGGATAAAGTCTAAGCAACTCTAAGCAAATACTCCGCAAACGATTCAAGAGCTCAAGGACAATATCAAAAGTGTTATTCATGAAATCGAGTCGCGATTATGCGAAAACATAATGCGAGATTTCCTTAAAAAAAGCGACTATTTGTAAAAAAAGTCGAGGTGGCCATTTGTCAGATATCGTGTTCCACACTTAATCGTTCACTTTTCATTGGAATTTGTACTTCTGTATTTCTGTACTTGGAACCATTTAAAGAAAAAAAAAAGAACTTTGTTTTTCTAATCATTTAAAATGAAACTTCGTAATGAAAAACCCTGTATAAAATATAATTACACAGAGAAAAAGGTTTCTTTGGATTTAATATGACTGTTTGATCGACTTGAGTTTGTTCGATATAAAAATATTCCAGCTTGCTGGTGACCGGTAGTGAAGACTCAACTGTGTTTGGTTTCACCGTTGCGGTGATTGACACTTATCCCGTCATCACACCAATTGGCTTCATCGAAGTGCCTTCGGGAGTCACGTGTCTCACGTGGAAACCGCATCATGTAAATCAACAATTTTGCAATCGCATTTAGAGCGACAGCGGATATATTCGCAGTTGCTCTAAATTCAACACGAATTCTTACAGGAAACGACATTGTTAATTGGATGCGTAAGAGGAGATTGCGTAGAAGTTGTATTACCCAGCACACCTCAACCGTACACCACCATCTCGTACAAACTTGTTCAATGTTTACCGAAAGTCTTCCAGTTCCATTCCGTGAAATCTGCTATTCGAAGGGAATTAATTCGTCTGAAACGAGAAGAAGAAAGGACGGAAAGAATAAGGAAAAGACGCGAAGAGATGGTCCGATTAATGAACGAAAGCTCCGAAATAGAGATTAATGAGGAAGAATTTTTCGGTAACTGCGTCACTTATTAATTACTATGGGTGCGTTCGAGGAGACGCTATTTAGCGCTACCCGCGTCATTCTGTCTTTATTATTCTTTACATGTACAACAAGGATAGAATGATGCGCTAAATAGCATCTCCTCGAACGCACCTTATCTGAAACAATGATACATCGCATTGAGTAGCCTTCTATTCGTTCATAAGTTATGTTAGTTGTAAATGCGGGTCCATGTATTTAAACATTATGCAACTCTTTCGCATCAATAATAAATATAACAAAATGGAATGTTTCGGCCATTGTTTCGAGTGATCTTCAACCGTAATTTCCCTCTCTCACAAGACAGCACAAGATGTCCTAAAATCATCCAGAATGTGTTTCAGGATATCCTGAGAGGTGTCTTAGAACATCCTCAGCACATCCAAACTGATCTCAGAGTGTTTTGTGATCAGTCTGGGGTTTATAAAATTAGAACGAACTTTTAAATACCTATATCTTCAGATACCCCTTTCTTTTGTATATTTCGGTAAAGCTAAAAGATCTTTAATTATATTTTTAAAATAATTACAGCGAATATGGACGAAGAAGAGCCGTTGCCGGAGATATATGTACCGGACATACCGAGCAGAATATTAATGGCGCAATACGTCAGGCACGACGTCATTTGGTTGTCAATGGCAGGATTCGACGCGGGTTACATGTACGAATACCCAAGTCCAGAAGCTGTCGAAACGATCGGCAGGGAACCCGTTAGAAGTACCGTGATATATGACGCGGACGACACGGAAATACACAGTTGCTTGTTCTAGTAAGACGCAATGGAAATCATTATCGCAGCTTTTTCTTCGCATGAAATGAATTAACTTTGGTCGTCGACTCTGGTGTATGCACCTAGCAAGCAAAGGAAATACCTGTTCTTGGGAATGGAACACGGACAGATACGTGTTTGCAAATATAAATCGGAGGACTACACAGATCTGTCGGACTATTGGATACTTTCGATGCACGATAATTACAACGGCTGCATTCCCAAAATGATTCTCAGCCACGACCAGAAGATGCTGTTCACATGTGGATACGATGGGAACTTGTTTTCTTACGAGATCAACGATGATACGCCACCCGAAGTGATCGATTTCGAGATAGCCGAGGAGACTTCACCCTTGGTGCGTCTGCGTTTATATTTTATAAGCGTTGTATTTTAGAGCGTTTTATTAATTTAACGATAGAAGTATAAGGTCATGAAGAGCGAGCACGGATGTCCTTTTTAGCGTTATATTTAATATTATCATTATTAATATTAGGTTGTTTATGGAAAGTTCATTTCAAATTTTGTGCGATCCGTATTGCTATGGTAAGTGAGTGAAAGCGAGGGCGCTCCGAACGATTTTGTATTTGTCGACAAACCGAATCTGTGAACGCCCGCCAAGGGAATCCCGTAGGCATTTCCAAATGCAACCATTTCGGCTGAAATCGGGTGCAAAGATGGAGAACCAGAAGGTCCATTTTCGCTATATTGCTTCCAGCGTGGCTTCATAGTTTTGCAGAATGAGATATCCTCTATATATAGAGATGCCTGTATGACGCACCAGACAGTTCGGAAATGGTAACGAAGATTCGAGGCTGGCGTTTCACTCAAAGAAGGTTCTTCCGAGCATCTAGTGGGATTTTAAGGGCATGGTGTATTATGAGCTTCTTCAGCTACACGAGACCATCAAGAGGTACAGCCTTCAACTGAACGAACTGTGAAGTTGTCTTTCATCATCATAACGCCAGACCTCATGTCGCGATGTCCATCCGTAGGAAGCTGCTGGACTTCGAATGAGACGTTCTTCCTCATCCTTCGTATTCTCCTGACCTTGCCTGTCAGATTGCTATCTATTTCTCTCTTTGAAAAATTTTCTTCGAGGCAAAAAAGTCGGATCTCCGGAAGCCCTCAAAATTCACCTCGATTAATTCTTCGCCAGTAAAAAAACCTTTGTTTTGGAGCATCATACAGCTTCCTGAGAGATGAACCTAAGAGAAGGTTGTTGAACAAAGTGGTACGTATCTCCTTCAATAAAATTACCCTTTGAGTAAAATATCGCATCTTGAATTTACATAGAAGATTTGTAAAACGAACTTTCCGAACAATCTAATATTATTATGTGAGAGGGTAGAGATATTTGGCAACTAGAAAGACCCGAGTTCGAGTTCTGGCCGAGATAATATTTTTCGCAACGCGATAAGTAGAGTCATTAATTGTTCACTAACTTAGTGAGCAATCGGGTAAGGGATGGAATTTAATTAATTGAACAAAATTAAAATATTACTCAAGGTCGGCCCGTACGTGGATGGTTGTTGCCGCGTTTTGTTTGGCCGAAAAATTCCGTGCGTTTCGCGATAGATATCTTTATTCTCCCACATATAATAATATTAATAATGATAATATTAATATTAAATATAACACTGAGACATCCGTGCTCGCTTTTTATGATCTTGTATTTCTATCGCTATTTTTCTAACAGCCGTATTAACACATTAAGGGCGGGAGTCGTAGTACTATGATTTATCTCGACTGCGACTTAAAGGCGGGAGTCGTAGTAATACGATTTAGCTCGACTGCTGCTTAAGGGCGGGAGTCGTAGTAACTACGATTTAGCTCGACTGCTGCTTAAGGGCGGGAGTCGTAGTAACTACGATTTATCTCGACTGCTGCTTAAGGGCGGGAGTCGTAGTAACTACGATTTATCTCGACTGC